CGCCCGCCCTCTGATCCCGTGGCCTCGCTGAAGAAATCGACGCAGCAGCGACCGCGACCGAGTAGCACCTTCGTTGTTAATAATAATACAGACGGATGGACACTTGCTGTAGCCACATGACACGCACACCATCTCTGAGAGTTAGAGTGACTGGCTAGAGACGACGACGACGATACAGTTCATGATAAACAAACTTCAGTTTGTGCTAGTGAACTGAGGAGAAGCGGGTCGAGCCTCGGCGCAGAGGGCAGCGCCTAGCGGGCGGGAACCCTTACCCCCGCGCCCGCCGCTGCCCGCCGCTTTGTGCGCGGGACCTCCGAGCGCCACGAGGCTCCTGACACAGCTCCCGACTAGCGTCGGCTCCTGCTCAGACAGACGCCAATCGACCAGTTCTCAAGCGACCCACCACCATCCCTCATCTACCGCCCGATCGAATCGCATTCGTCTCTTGCGAGTTCCTCTTGCTCCAAGAGGTTCCAGAGAACGGGGTAACTCTGAGCTCCCTCCGCGTACGCTACGCTCCCTTCGGAGAGAGCCCCAGAGTCTTACCGCGCTCCGGATCCTCTTTAGCCCATCTCTGAGAGTTAGAGTGACTGGCTAGAGACGACGACGACGATACAGTTCAGGTTCATCCATTTTGCTGGCACGAGTTTCCGCGCACACGTTTTCGCGCGGAGCAACTCACCCGCGGTATGTATATGCCGCTCCGCGCGACCGCATTCGCCGGCCTCTGCCTCGGTCTCAAGCTCTTTGGCTTGCGCGTTGCCGAGACGGGCTGCTTCGGCCTCCTGCTCGGCAGCGGCCGCTGCCTGTCGCCGCGTGAGGCGAGCCTCGATGCTGTGTCGCTGCTCTTGCCGGCGGCCGACACGTTCGACGCGGCGACGTTCGTGCTCGCCGGCGAGGTATTCCTCGTGGTCTTCCTCGGCGCCGTCGAGATGGGGCTGGTCGAGGCGGTGGCGGAGGTGCCCGCCCAGTGGCTCGCCGCGCAGCACTTCTGGCTGCTCGCGCAGGCGGCTCAGGTGGCAGCCTCGGCCCTATTTCTCCGCGGACAGCTCGGCGCGACCGCCGGCGCCGTCGGCGCCACCGCCCTTGCGCACGCCAGCCTGGGCTCGCGCTTGGTCGCCCTCGAGCCGCTGTCGCAGGTTCACCTCAGACGGCGCACTGGTCGCCCCGACTCCTTGATTTGGGTTGTGTATCACTCGTCCTCGTTCGGGTGCAGATGCTGCTGGGAGGGCCCGTGTGGCTGCACGCGGGCCGGGCCCGCCTAGATGCACCCCGCCCGTCCACTTTGCAGACCCCCCTACCTGTCTGCGAGCCTCCGAGGCACCTTGCAGAGCAGTGTAACACTGCGCTGCACCTACACTCGACGCTACCCCTACCCCCATTCCCCCATCTCCATCCAACCCCAACCTACCCCCAACCCCAACCAGCCCCAACCCCAGCCCCAACCCTAACCTACCCCCAACCCCCAACCCCAGGCTGGGCGTGGCCCCTCTCCCTCATTCACCTCCACATGGCCCTCAGCGCCGAACCCACTGCCGAGACCGCCGCGCTGCTCGCCGCCGCCTTCGCCGCCATCGCAGCGTGCTGTGCGGCATGCGCCTAGATGCGGAATC